CAACCAGAAAGGAGTCTGTGCAGCTTTGCACAAGCTCATATCCCGCCGATTGGCCTTAAAAACCCTCAGATTGGAAGCCCATTACTTGGAGTAACCTTACAATTTTAGGATCTAACTCACTCCCTTTAATTTGCTTCTTACTAGTACTCATGCAACAAATTATGTTAAAATTTAAAATGCAACAGATCACTTAACAGTGGGGCCCTTTCAAAACAGAGGCTTATTAAAACCAGCCAGCCAGCAGGAAGGAAGCATGGACTAGGAAATGGAAAGATTAAATTTCTTTAATTTAGGTCTCTAAAGATAATCCCTTCTTTGTGACAGTCTCATAACACATAAACAAGATCTATGTGTTTTGTGAAAAATCCTTTTTACAAACCTTATCTTAAGATAAGTCTTCCTCACACATGTCGTATGGTATTGGCTTCATCCTGAATTTCCACTGCCTTTGTTGTTTGAGGTTGTTTCCTGGGGTCTGAGGAAACATTTTAATTTTCCACAAGTAGGCCATTCACCCGCCTGCTTTTCATAACTTACAGCAGGTGGCACTGTGGCTATAGTGTTCAAGATTGGATGATGATTCACACAGGGAATTTTTTTTTTTTTTTTTGGATTATGATGTTTTGAGCCTGAGAATCTAATTAAACCAGCAGTATCCTGATAGACTTTGAACCTCCTCTACAAGAATGTAGGAGGAGAAAGTGAAAAATGATCTAAAGTCCAGGGTAAAGAGATGATTGTAGCGAGATAGCCAGGGAGACTGACCTAATATATATAAAGGCATTCAGTTCAAAAGGAGAGGAGGATCCCTAGGGCAACTCTACATAAAACCACAGGACCAGCAGGCCCACCCAGACCCCTGAGCCAGAGGCTGCCGGGAAGGTATCAAGATCTATGTGTTTTGGAAAAAATCCCTACCAGGTAATCAAGATGAAGAAAAAAAAATTGTATGCTCCTAGGGAATTGAACCTGCTTAGGTAATTGTTCTAAAGTACCTCACTTAATTGTTCTCATTATTTTACCCTACCTTTCCAACAAATAATCGCCTCTCTGGTTTATTTTCTCTGTGTGTCTTTGTTTCCTCCCTTTTTTTGCCAAGATCAGAGTCTCATAAGGATCTTCACCAATCCACAGAAACTGGCCCTCAGTGTCTTCTAAGCCAACATAAGCAATGATTAATCCCAGAAAGAATCCGTTTAGGGGATGGATGAACAGGGAAAGCTATAGAATAAAGATCTGGAGAATTAACACTGCCTGTTTCCACTTTTTGTAGGACTAGACACCTTCCTTCCTCGCGACTCAGATTTTTGTCTTGCAGAAATACTTCCTTCCATCTCCAGCACTTAGTATCAGGTTTGGGCTGATTCTGTGAAAAGAAAGGTGGATGAAAGGGTTTTCACATACAGAAGGATAGTGACTGAAAGCCTGACAGCAGCTTATTAGTAGGTATTCCCCACCTACCTCCTAGTCTGCCAGTGCAGCCATCTGTGTGCTGTGTCTGGGGCTGACCCGATTGTGAAAGACAAGGCTGGGAAAATCAGAATCAAAATCCCACAGATGGACTGTGCATTTTATTATTTTTAAGTGTAGTACTTTAGCAAGCCTAAATAATCAAACACATAAGACTCTACCTGTCTTTTCAGCATGGCCTTAAATCTATTAATCTCTGCTGGAATCCCTTCATCAAAATGCTAAGGACCATGAGATAGGATTATTGCCAGAAAAGGCCGGTTAGATGACTGACAAGAGATCTGAGAAGGAGACATTTTCTCTGGTAATTTAGTTTCATTCGACAGTCCTGTCTTCAACTTTACATGTCTAGAAACTAAAAATGAATCCTTGGGAACAGACATTAACCAGTATCACACCTGTCTGATGCATGAGACAGAATACCAACATTAAGAGTTTATTCAACCAGTTGGCACATTCTCTTCCCTAGATAAAAACTCTGTGTAGGAAGCCAAATTATAATCCCCACATCTTGGTCAGCAGGAATTAGCAAGAGGAATTAGCTGGATGATCTTAGTCACTAGTGCTGTCAAACACACAATTCCTCAAACAAGCAGGGCTGGGGAGCTGGGACATTCCAGGACCTGAAACTGGGAATGGCACAACCCACTGTTGGCTCACTATGGGTATTGGTTGGATGTCCAAGGAACCAGAGTTTGATATGGAGAAGTACCAGACCAGAGTCAGGTACACTGTCCAAAATGAGTCCCCCGAGGAATACCCAGAGGAGGTTCCAAACACAAAACCCTTTGTGATGAAACCAGGGAATGCCAGCAATGGAAAAGATGGCCTCTGTCCGTTCTTTAATTGAAGAGTAGGCCATTGCAGTAACAACTTTTGATCCATAGCTAAGTACTTATGAAGACAGATGTGGGCAAAACATATAACCTAATTTTTCTTAATAAAAATAGGAGATATGTCTGGTAAAAGAATCCAAACAGTATGTACATGATTATACAGTGGAAATAAAATATCCTCTTCCAACCGGGCTCGGTGGCTCAGCCTGTAATCCCGCGCCTTTGGGAGGCTGATGTGAGTGGATTGTCTGAGCTTGCGGGTTCGAGACCCGCCTGGGCAACTTGGCGAGACCTCATCTCTACAATAAATCAAAAATTAGCCGGGTGTGTAGCGCGCTTCTGTAGTTCCAGCTACTCGGAAGGCTGAGGCGGAAGGATCGCCAGAGCCTACCAGGTCGAGGCTGCGGTGGCCGGGAGCGGCCACTGTACTCCAGCCTGGGCAATGGAGTGAGACTCCAACTCAAAAAAAAAAAAAAAAATCCTCTTCCCACAGAACTACTATGATCAGTTTTAAGCACCAGGTTATAAAAAATATATATCACTGCAGTGTCCCTAGGGATTTTTTTTAAGTGACTATCTTCAAAATTTTACTTCCAGAGTTTAATTCATAGGTAGTACCAATCTGGAATGTTTGAGCCTCTAGGAGATTCAGATGTGCAATTAGGTATAGACACCATCGGCCTAATACAGCTCTCTCTAAAGAACTATCCTGGCCTCTCTGCCAAAGAGACCTCTACCTGGGCTCCCAGCCAGTTCTTGGATGGGCACTGACTGAGCTGGCCATGTTGATGTTCTTTATTGTATGCCAGGCTGACAGAAGTCTTTTCTGAATGGCACATTATTTCATTCTGTTCACTAAATTTCAAGCATCTAACCTAGGAGACCTTTTTATCTTCTGCATCTATCAGACCCATGAGCTGTTGGTCTCATAATTGAACTGAGATCATTTTGGCGTCATCTTGTTGCCTGTTCTTTGCTTACACTTTGTGCATTCTAAAGTGATCTGAGATTTGGGGGTTTGGGGGTTGAGGCAGTGACTTCTCCATGAGAACAGCTGGACTTACCCCTCATTTATCCCACAAACGATTTTGGAATATTTGCCATGTGCTGGATGTTATTTTAGGCACTGGTGATAGAGCGGTAACAGTCATTTTTGTTGGAATGGAGGAAGATAGACCCCAAACAAGGAGTCAGTTGGGTATCCAAGTGTGGAATTTTGGCTGGAAATGAAATGTTTTGGGGGTCAGGGACACAGAGATGATACTTAAATATCATCTTTAAAGCCCTGAAACTGGGAAGATTCCCCCAAGGCAGTATCCTAGAAGAAAAAAATTTCCAAGAAGCCAGTCCTGGAGCATTAGTTCATGAAGAGATAGGCAGATAAGAAGAACTGGCAAAGGAGAATGAGAAGGAATGGACAGAAATGGAGAAGAGGGTGTTGGCATACAAAAAGAAACCGCATTAAGGCTTTTATCCCCTTCATTATGGTTGGTGGCAAGTAAGTAGATTTTGAATCGATGGGTGACACTTCAGTTAAGTAAATCAGGGTATCTGGACAGTTTAAGAAGGCCTCACAGAGGAAGGATGATTAATATAGGCCCTAAAGGATGAGTAGGAATGGGATGCAGTGAGAAAGGATATTGCAAGATAAGGAGAGCATGCGTGCAAAGATCTGGAATCAGTTCATTTGGAGGAACCATGAGTAGAGTGGACGGGGTGCTTGGCAAAGGCGAGTGTGGCTAAATATGAAACCTGAAAGGGGATTTTGGACTCATCTTGAATGAGGATAATAGACTGGATGCTCTAAGCCAGTGACTCAACCCAGGGTGACCTTGCCCCCTAGGGGACGCTTGGCATCTGGAGATATTTTTTATTGTCACCACAAGGTAGGATGTTGGCATCTAGGGAGTATTGATCAGGGGATCCTTCTAAAATATCCTGCAGTGCACAATACAGCTCTTCACAACAATGAATTATCCAGCCCAAAATATCGATGGGTCTGAGGCCGAGAACCCTGTCCAAATGAACTTCGCTGAACCCCTCCATTTTCAGCAGTGGGCACTGGCAGCTGTGCTTGTTGTTGGTTGCTTTAATGTTTTAGAGTTTAAGTAATGAGATGCTAGTTCTTCCCTGTCTTTCCCCGTCTTCTGTTTTGTTGTTGTTCTATATATTAAAGTAAAAAATAACTTCCAGTATCATATTCCACATATCTAGGCGAGGGGCAGATGAGTGTTATTAAGTCTGTTCTTGTCTGTCTTACTTTCTAAGATTCCATTCTGTTACAGGTTGGGCTTTTGCTTTCCCTTTCCTGGGTTTCTGTGTCTTTTATGCTCAAAAGTACTAATCAGTGCAATAAATGTAGTTTTGTGCCGCTCGGTGTGATCATGATATGATTATTTATTATCCCAGATGCTTCAGAGCCAAGATACTCAGTGAGGTATTTTTCATTTTCTCCAAAGAGAGACAGAAGGTGCTAAGTAGAGGATGCAATTTCGTTTAGTAGACAGTAGCATGCAAGAGCCACGTGTTTATACATCACAATCACAGACATTGAAATGAAAAGAGGCAATATAAAATGCAAAGATTCTCACCATTTTCAGAGAGATTAGGAACCAGAGGGAGCTTCTTAGGCTTGTTGAGGAAAATGAGGGCCGATGCCCCTTCTGGAAGTGAAACAGCTCCTCTCTCTGCCAGTGCTACATGTTCCACATGTATGTTGGGGTTCGTGCTGGAGGCGGGATCGGCGATGAAATTGAAGACCCAGCAGGAGATGAATATGAGATCTATCGAATCATCTTTGACATCACTTTCTTCTTCTTTGTAATTGTCATCCTCTTGGCCATAATACAAGGTAAGCATCATCCTCACCAAAGCCCAAAAGAATGTAGAATTTAAGCTACATGTTATTGAAAGCTGATATGCAAGGTTTCCAGGTAGGGTAAGAAGGTCAAGTGTTTGCTGAAAAAGACAGCTGTTCCTTTCATTATCTCGTCATTGCAAAATCTGTAGAGAGAAATACAAAGAAGCGCGGGATCCTGGCGTAAGGGTAAGACGAATACAGTTTTCTTTTGTCTTTGAAATAAATAATGGAAGGACCACTTCCTTGGTTTGATGCTCAGCACTAAGGTTCACACTCGTGAACCCCAACTTCACAAATTTGAGTGGGTGGGCCATTTAGCTTTTGTGGGTCTATCACATGGAAATAATAGAAATCTCTAAGCCCTGTGGTTGTTGAGAGGGTTTTTTTTTTTAATGGTATGCATTCAAATGCCTAGTATAGGATCTGATGCATAATCGGTGCCTCTTGACTACTCATAGAGCTATTATCACTGTTGAGTACCCAACTCTGCCAGGCACAGGTATTAACGAATCACTAGTTCTTCCTTTTACTTTTGGGCCACTTGGAATGTAGTGTCTTTCTCTCTCAGAAAAGTCACTTGTCTTTTTCTGCTTAACACATTTATCCTGGCTTGAAATAAATGCCTATATAAATGTGACAATATCCTTTAAATTCCACAGTTATAAATGATATGTTGGTTTTTTTTTTTTTTTTAGTAAAGTGCTATGGACAAGTTTAAGGGACTCATAACTCACTCACTGTGTCTTTATGGGGTGTAACCATATCGTGTTTTATAAGAGGGCAAAGTCATAAAACACTCAGAAGAAAGTGTAACCAGCAAGTCCCAGGAGGAAAAAGGAGCAGAAACACGACTCAGGGCGGTTCCTTTCTGATTGCCACAGTCAATGGAATTCTGGAACATTTACTTAGGAGGAACTTTTGAAAAAAGTAATCTGAGGCAAATTTCTCACAATTTCTATGGTAACGTTTGATTTGGAAATAATACATTACTGGAAAGTCTTGTGAGTGGAGTTTTCTGTACTTAACCACCATAAATCTCAACTGTTCTCCGTTAGCATGAATTAAGTAGCAATAGGCCATCTATGTATGCCAAGTTAATGAAAGGTTCTCCCTGCTCTGTCACTTGGTTTTAAAACACTCTTTCAGTGAGTGTATGGCCCAGTTACTGCCTGTACATCTGCCCCCAAAGAAACACTACCACTTTCATAGTGTAAGGGTATCAGACATGTACAAACACTTTTATCACGTTCTGAGCATTTCCCAAGGTAGCTGTATGTTTTCCCTTCCCTTGAAGGGATCAGCCAAGGGGCTGTGAATTTAATCATTATCTCATGGTTAATACAAATTCAAAGGACTCTGATTTTAATTATTATCCCCTGGTTGATAAATGTCTTTATTGAACATTAGGTCTAATTATTGATGCTTTTGGAGAACTTAGAGATCAACAGGAACAAGTCAAAGAAGACATGGAGGTAAGTTTCTCTGTTTATGACTCAGGTTTTTTTTGTTTTTTTTTTTGAGTTGGAGTCTCACTCTGTCACCCAGACTGAAGTGCAGTGACCACTCCCAGCCACTGCAGCCTCGACCCGCTGGGCTCCGACGATCCTTCCGCCTCAGCCTTCCAAGTAGCTGGAACTACAGGCGCGCACTACCACGCCCAGCTAATTTTTAAATTTTATTGTAGAGATGAGGGCTCACCAAGTTGCCCAGGCGGGTTTCGAACCCACGAGCTCAGGCAATCCACTCACCTCAGCCTCCCAAAGCGCTGGGATTACAGGTTGAGCCACCGAGCCCGGCTTGACTCAGCTTTTTTGCTGTGGGCACTCATTTTCCCTACTGCCGTGGCCCAAAGAATCGTGAATACTGGGGGAAGGAGGAAGGGGCACAAACAACGTATGGTTTCATTCGCCTGCTTTCCATCCAAGCAATGCAGACAAGTGTGCCGCGTGTTAGGCTAGAGCTATAGTGGACTCCAGGTACATACAGGCAGCAGCATAGTACCATCCTGCCCTCAAGAAGTGGGGAGACTATTCATTCAAAACCATAAATTCACTGACAAGCAAGTTAACAGGTGGTGATAGAGCAGGGTGGTAAGCCTTTTATAGCAGTAAAGCACTGAGTGCTGGAGTCTCCTTGCAGCTGGTATCTGGTTCATATCTGGATGACAGGGGAACTTCCTAGAAGGGATGCCCACCCTGAGGCCTGAAGATTGTGGACATGTGGGCTTGATAGGGAGCGAAGAAGACAGTTTAGATGTCCTCCTTGTCCCCTCCCCCGCCATCGGGCACAACTCCAGGGGTACCATTCACGTTGGATTCTGAGAATGTGGCCACCTGTGATTATATACCAAGACTCGGATTTTAAGGAATTTGATATGCAGATTTTTCTTGGACGCATAAGTGGTTCAAGATGCAGCATTAAATTCTAGTGAGGAGGCTGGAGAGGAAGACCAGCAAGTGAAATGCCTAATGACTCATTTGAGAACTTGACAGTTTAACGTATGGGCTATGAGGAACAAGAAAAGGGATGTAAGCAGGGCAGCCAGATGACTGAGCTTGCATTTTAAAAAGAAAAATGATTTAAAATACGGGAAGTGAAGTAAAAACTGGCAAAACCAGGGGCAGGCCAGTAGGCTAGCAGCCTTTTCCAGGTAGGAGATTGAGAAGCTTTTGCTGAAACCTGCCACTGAGGATACAGGAGTTGCAGTGAGAAGAACTTAATGATTGGCCAAAGACAGAGAATGAAGAGGATGGAACAAGCGAGGGGATTTCCAGATTTCAGGCATGAGCCACCAGATGGATAGTGGTACCGTGACCCTGAGGAAGAGCAAGTTCGTGGATAGAGCTGATGAGTGGTTTGTCCTATTTAAGAGACATTGTTGGCCAGGCTCGGTGGCTCATCCTGTTATCCCAGCACTTTGGGAGGCCGAGGCGAGTGGATAGCCTGAGCCTACGGGTTCGAGACCCGCCTGGGCAACTTGGCGTGCCATGTCTCTATAATAAAGCCAAAATTAGCTGGGCGTGGCAGCTCGTGCCTGTAGTTCTGGCTACTTAAAAGGCTGAGGCGGAAGGATCGCCGAAGCCCAGCAGGTGGACGGTTGGGTGGCCGTGAGTGTGCCATGGCACTCCAGTCTGGGCAACGGAGTAAGACTCCAACTCAAAAAAAAAAAAAAAGACATCATCGATGGATATAAAGACCTGATTGTTCTCCCAAATTCCTGAATGTGGTCTATCTGCTTTCAACAGTTTGTTGATCAGTAAGGCATGAAGCATTTTATGAGTTCTCATAATCATCTTGATTGTCATCTCCAGAATCCAGGGCATTGTAAACATGCTCCAAATGACATTAAACAGCTTCTAATTGGCAGAGAGAGATAACCATCAAGTCACACTAGGACAATAACTATTGAATTTAGTTGCACTGATACATGCAGAATTCTGATCATGAAATGGATCTGCTTCTCCTTGGGTTTTGTGCGCCAGGCCTGCCAATGGCAGACTTCACAGGTACTGTTCCACAGGCTACATAAAGATAGGTGTGGTCCAGAGAAGGTGGAAGCCAAAAGACCAGGCAGCCAGTTCTAGAGTTGAAAGTTATTCCTAATACATGTCCACTGGTTAATTCTGTCATGGCAGACCCTCGCCCGATTGTGGATGGAATGATGGGGCACCTCTTGGCTTGGTATTTGATTTGGCCCTCCCCAAAGGAATCTGTACCTTCCCCCAAACCCTCATGTCATCAGACTTTGAGTAGGTACTAAGTTTGCAATTTCATTTGAGGACACATAACTTGTGTCATGAAGAGAAGTGACCACTAAGCCTGGACACTTTCCCCTAGGCTGGAGAAAATAAGGAAGAGACATTGCTTTTCAGCTATCATTATCCTGTGCTCTATCTGCATCTGTTACTTCCCGCCACAGTTCATTTAAACCCACTATACCAAGATAAAGTTCCGGCAGCAGTTAAGTTTATATTTGTGGACTTGGAACAATTTCCACGTGACAGCCTTTAACATATGTCAAATAAACAAAAGAGCTGCCCCTACACAGCAAGTTGTGTTTTCCTTTTGTTTTGCTTTCTGGGCTCTCTAACATTTTAATATGTGCCTTTCTCTTCTAGACCAAATGCTTCATCTGTGGAATAGGCAATGATTACTTCGACACGGTGCCACATGGCTTCGAAACCCACACTTTACAGGAGCACAACTTGGCCAACTACTTGTGAGTGTGTCCGTCTCAGAGTCTTTGGCCCTTCCAATAGCCCCTGGCTCCCTCCAGCTCTGGAAGCTTGAGAAGCAAGAGAGAGAGCAGTTTCTTTTTCCTTACAATTGCTGCAGATACTTTGAGAGAATGACCAACAACTAGTGGGGCTCTTTCCTCTAGAGTAGGTTGACTTAAGAAATGAAGTTGCAGCTGTTCATGTAAATAATGCTTTCTAGAACTTGAAATGAAAGGTAGACAGGAAAGAGCAGAGGCTCTCAGGGAGTCTTGGCCATGTTTCTCTTTTAAGGGTTTACACATCTCTTCAGGCACTGTTGGACACCCAGTTAAAAGTTGCATTTTTTTAAATATACCCAGAAGTCTTGCCATTACTTGGGACTAGCCAAAACTCTAGTTTGGTAAAATGCTATTCTTACTCACTTTCTGACCCAATTTTGATATCAAACAGTAGAGATGCAAAATAGCATTGTTGGGGAAGAAAACAGTTTAACTATACTCAGTTGAACTTGATCAGTAAATTAGAACTTCTTTTTAAGCTGTCTTCAGTTAAAATTCATCAGTGCTGCTTTGATTCCAACAAAATTGCATATATTCCTAACTTGAAGCGTCTCAGGTAAAATTACACATCAGATCAGAAGAGTCAAGTCAAAAAATAACCTTACCTCTTTCTGGTACACTGTAATTAAATTTTCCAAAAAATGTACATGTGGTGTTTTCTCTGTGTCTACAACAATTGAATACAGCATATAATATATAAAAATATGTCCTATATTTTTATACTCTATTTCCATACAATCTATTTCTGATCAGTCTCTCTGTATCTGTAGGTTTTTTCTGATGTATCTCATAAACAAAGATGAAACTGAACACACAGGACAGGTAGGTAAATAGTGCCTATATATCTTCTGAAAGAAATGATAGAGAAGCCCTAAATGTTAAAACAACATGTTAAATAGTAAGAGGTGGAATTACTTTCAGATATTATTTGTGGTATTTTGATATATAAAATTCCTGTGATCTGGCATGAGTGTAGAAAAGACTGCCTTTGCTAAAAAAGTAAAATTCTAATTTCACTTAAAACAATAAGCTTTTATTAACTGAAAATGGTGGGTTTTGAATTCCCTGTTATAAGAAAATTGAGTATTCTTAATTATTGTGTAATATCCTTGATTGCTTAATCAGATGGCAGATGATTTCAAATGAACATCAACCCACAGTATTATGGTCAGTTAAAAATACTGCTTATTAAACGTCTAAGGTTTGTAAGCTAATTGAAATTCCTCTTCCACTGGTGTTCACCAGAGATTGTTAATAGTTTGAACTTAAAGGAAACAACATTTTAAGAGAACCCTCAAAAACATAGACCATAAGTATATTTTTAGTCATTATTATTTTATGATGAGGATAAAGATTGATTATTTGTTTATTACTGGAAGTAAATAAGGTCTGGTATAGTTAGGAATTATCTAAATGAATCTGGACTTCTCCAATTACGTGTGATGTATACATATAACAAAACTGAGTTTCTCTCTCATATTTTGCACAGATTTGGGGGAAAACGTTAATATATTTCCTCTACTTTCACAGGAATCTTATGTCTGGAAGATGTATCAAGAAAGGTGCTGGGAATTTTTCCCAGCAGGGGATTGTTTCCGGAAACAGTATGAAGACCAGCTGAATTAAACTCAGACCCTGATCACCTCTAAAAACCAAAACACTCCCTCTCTCTCTCTCCCTCTCTCTCTCTCCCTCTCTCTCTCTCTTTCTCTCTCTGTCTCTCTCTCTGTCTCTCTCTCTCCCCCCCTTTCTCAATCTCTCTGCTTTCTTGGAAACATCTTGCTGATTTTGTGAATTGCCAGCGTTGTGTGCTTGCTGGGAACATCAAAGCTCTGTTTCTGAAGACCTGACTGTTTTGCCCCCACCTTCTGTATTTTCTTTGAGAATCAAGACTGAAGAATCATCTAAATTCATACGCAGACAAAAAGGGAGCTCTGGAAAGAAAACCATTCCAGACACTTTCTATCATAACACAGACAGATTTTCTTCGGAGACTCCTGGAAGTCTCCATGAGCTACGGGACCTTCACAGAGACGCATGGCAACCACACTCACCCGGCCTCTTTATTTCGCCATCCTGGAAGGATCCGTCTAATGGTCACAGAGCACTGTAGCACTTAACAGATTGCCGTGGACACCCGTTGTGAAGAGAAATAGTGCCTTACTATATGTGGGTTGAGCTATGCAGAAGATATGTGCATGAAAACACATCTTTATTTTCTTTACCTCGATCTTCCTTTTCTTAGTTAGATTGATTTTGTGAGGTTTTCTTTTTCCTGTATTCTTTTCTTTGGTGGGGGAGGGTAAGAAAAGCAGTTTGCACCTTTTTAAAAAAAGACGGGTGGTGTTTCTCAGGACGAAAGGAGGCTCTTCTCATTCAGCTAAACTCATATCTGCCCTCCCCATGTGCTCCTGCTGTTATTTTGGTAATGCTCTGATGCAACATTGCAACTTTATGAAATCTTTGTATGAAAACAAAAAGACTGCAAAAAATACACTTTCAAAAGAAATCATTCATTGCATGTTTATTATGCAAGTTTAAACGAACAAAGAAAATCTTCAGAAGCAAGTTGATCACCGTGAAAGAACTTTCATGATAATTATATTCATAGTAATAAAGTGTCGTGGGCTTAATTGTATATCTGGAGCCAGTGTCATCCACCAACAATGTGATACATTATGAACTTGACAGTAGTTTTGGGTTTTTCTTTTTCTTTCAGCCACCTGTGTTCAGTTGATGATTAAGGACTTCTGACAGGCCATTTTTTAATATCAAAGCTGAAGCAATATCCATTCAGGGATTTCATCAGTTGCATCACAAAACACGGATGATAATATAAATCACCCCATTTTTTCCATTTTGGGTCCTTTTAAATGTAATGTTAATCTTTACAATTAAAAAGACAGATTCAGAATGGAAGCAAGGCCATTTTGCAAACATTGGAGCTCTTTTATTACAAGTCTGCTTGTTAATTTTAGAATTGTAAAACTGCTCTGATTAAACTATTTAACTAACTTTCTCATCTTCTTCTTTCTCCTTTTAACTTACAATTGTGACTCAAAACTTTTTAACTTTTAACTTGAGATGGGTGTAGGACAATCCCAAACACTGCACCAAGACCTCTATACTGTCAGATTTCCTGGTAGCTACAAGTTTGCTGTATTTATGACTGTGGAGTCTCAGAGGCACCAGGCAACTGGCCAACCCCTGTCATTTCCCTGGTATGGGAGTCATCCAGACCTCTTGAAAACCCATGTCATGGCCAGGTACAGCGGCTCCGCCTGTAATGCTAGTACTTTGGGAGGACAAGGTGGGGGATTGCTTGAACCCAGGAGTTTGAGACCAGCCTGGGCAACATAGCAAGACCGTGCCTCTGTAAAAAATTAGCCAGATGTGGTGGCACATGCCTATAATCTTAGCAACTCCAGAGGCTGAGTGGAAGGATCTCCTGAGCTAAGGAGGCTGAGGCTGCAGTGAGCCGTGACAAAGTCACGGTTGGGTGCGGTGGCTCACACCTCTAATCCCAGCACTTTGGGAGGCTGAGGTGAGAGGACTGTCTGAGCCCACAGGCTAGAGACTAGCCTGGGCAACTTGGCAAGACCTCACCTCTTAAAAAAAAAAAAAAATACCCGAGTCACTGTCTCCCAAATTTTTCTTTTATATAGCTCTTTAAATGTTATACAGCTCTTCTTTGCTTGGGGTGGATTCATTTCTTAACAATAAGAGTTTATTTTCTGTCTTAATATTAAAGAGAGTTGGTAGACAGTGATGTATTAAAAACTCAGATACCGATTAAACATTTTCTGTGTGCCAAGGCCTGTGCTGGGTACCAGTGACATATCATCTGTCATTTTACACTTCATCAGTACAGCATTATAGCAATAGTTTCTAGACTTGCATTTATGTTTTGGTATCTCTTATATTTGGGGAAGGAATAAATTTGGCTGCTTCGCAGGAATTTCTAAGCCTACTGATCTGAAGAATCTGAATAAGATAAATCAGGTAAGCTCCATGAAACATCAAAGAGTACATTGCCCTTTGCCACAAAACACTGCAGAGGAAGCATAGAGTGAAGAGGAATAAATATTTTTCCAAGATAAAATCCACTGATAAGATTCAGGTCTCCTATTTACAATGCCTAAATCAGAGTTGACATAAAACAACAGTATAGGTGAGAGGTGAGTGAATGAATTCATAATGTCCCCTAGATTGTGCAGGCTCTCATAGACTCTCCTGACTGACTGTGCCCTGCTTTAAAATCCTGGATGGTGGCAGAAGTCTTCTGGGAGAGGCAGAGAGAATCTAAATGTGGATGATAACTGTGCTAGAGAAAGAGCAAAGGAGCAGAGCTGGTCACTTGAGAAAGGCCTACACGCCCCAGCCTCATCACTGGCCAACAATTATAGGAAGACCCCTCTTCCCTCCTCAAGGCCTCAAAAGGGAAAAGGGAGTTTTTCTCTATCAGCATCATTAATTCCCCTGAGAGGTGTCTCTGAATCTCAAATACAACATAGCTCTCTACTTCTCTGATTCAAGTCAGAACTGCCTGACCCGAACTCAGGAAATGTAATCCTTTTAGTATTGTACCAGTATTCAAACACACAAGAGCATCATAATGAACGCTTACATACCTCATCTCAGCTTCAACATTTACAGACATCATTCTGCCCTTATTTCATCTGCTCCTTTCCCCGCCCCCGGAAACAACTTTTGAATCTACTCCATAAAATAAGTCTAGATTCATAATTTAAGTTGAAGTTTCCCAAATGCACTCTGCTCATGAGTGTCTAAATGGAACTCCTTGGATGGATGATTATTATTTTTCATGTGCAGGAGGCAATTTGTTCTCAGCCCCACACACCCACACAAAAACTCATTTAAAAGTCCTACTGTAGTGAAAAGTACTTTATACCTGATTATAAAAATAATTATATCTAGGAAAACCAAACATTTTTTTCACTCTCTTGTTTTACTGGGGAAATACTCATATTTTTCTTAGTGCTTCAATTTTCTGGGTCAATATACCAGTATGGCTTCCCTTGCTGTTAAGGTGTTTGGGGTGGGTGTTAGTGAGTGGTGAGTGCCCTTATTCACTCTGGACACAGTGAAAGAGGAATTTTTAAAAATGTAATACATTTACCCAAGCATGGAATTCATGTAAATTTGATGTGGAAAAGGCTTGGACAGTTAGACATTGCCCGAATTATTTCACAAATGTCTGAAGTGTTGTGAAGAGAATGATCTCACTGTCACCTTACTGATAACATTTCTGCCCAGCACTCTGAAATATTTGTGATAGACGCTGCATTAAAAAGCATCTTGATCTGCGTACACATACATAGATGGCACCTGGGTTTTTTTAATAACCATAAATATTAATAACACACATCCCTAATAGGACAAAGTTCAGTATCGTTTCATCTAAAATCACATAACTGAATTGTGTAGCTAATGCAAATATAATAAGTAGCAAAATAAATCCTTAAAGTTCCATGTTCTCCAAATCGGAGTGATTTATGATGTCACAACTCAGTATAGAAACAAGCAGGTAACATTAATTTCCTCATATAGATAATGTCCCAGAACTACTAGAACATGAGAGCTGGAAGGGACTTATGCAATCACATTTCAGATGGAGCTATCTAGGCCGGTTAAATGGCTTGACTCAAGTCCCAGTGCTGGTTAGTGGAAGAGCTGGGGCTTTTTCAAAGAAGACAGGTTTTTTATGACCTAGCTAAAATGAATTAAGAAAGCAGATAGTTAACATTTTTCATGACATATCATAGGTGCTCACTGATAATTCTGCTTCTGTGGTAAGAGAAATTCTGGAATTATTAAATGAATAATTTAATGACTTCCAAATGCACCACTGAACACAGCTATCTCTGAATAAAGAAGCCAAGTATCGGTTTTAGTCCCAGACAACAGGAAAACTTCACCTTGTTATTTTGCTTTAATACCTACCTTATTTTATATGGAGATCTTTGCAATGTTTTATTGGTTTTCATAACTATGTTCCTTTCTCGGGGCTAAAAAGATCCAGTTATGATATTCATCATGATTAAAATCATTTTGGTTCATATTTTCTTCCTAAAGATTTTGGATCTCATCAGTGAGGATAGGGTTTTGGGGATCAAAGAGTCCTACATGTTAGTGTGTCAATGATGTTTTAATGGCAAAGGAGCATATAATTTGCCTTTTTTTCCCAGATCAGGGAGAGAAAGCTTTTCCTCTACCTTGTTGTGTTCGGTTTTGGAGGCCAGCAAATTAAACTGACAAACAACAGATGAGTGATAGGAAAGGCAGATTGCATTCAGTATGCACACAGAAAATGGGAGTTCACAGAAAAATGTGAATCAAGGCTGTAAGTATCTGGGGCGTGGACACCATCTGAATGGGAGATGGAATGAAGGAGAAGGGCCACTGCTAGGAGAACAAATAACTTCTTAGAAGGTGGAGAGAAAGGGCACAGATGGACAAACAGATGGCTTTCTGGAAAGATAAACAGGCCCTGAAGAGAATCTATGACAAGGTCTGGAAATAGTGCTGACTCCCATCTCCAAGAAGAGAAGATGAGTGTTTTCTCAGGGAGGCAATTTATGAAGCTTGAGTTCT